TTGTTGAGAATCTGCTTCTGAACATTCACGGGAATAACCTGGGATACTGCGTCATCTATTGAAGCACGCTGCAAGCACTTCTTTGTGTGCAGCAAACTATGTAAACACTTTGTTGCCGAGCCCCATCTAGTTGCTCTTGGCAATAAAAGTGCACTTTCCTTCCCCTGCCCCTTCCCCTGCAGAGTTTTCCGCCTGGGGGTGGTGCATGCGCACATGCATGCTTAGCGACCACACCCCCGCAAAAAAAAAAATATGTCTCCCTTCACCTATGACCCTGAGAGACTTGAGAAGGTATTTACCTCTGCACCCAATCTGCTGCAACTGAAGCCCAGAAGCTAATGCATCAGTCTGGGTCACAGGATCATCTTATGCCAGCTGTCCAAATCCTTAAAATAATTGCAGCCATGTGCTTTTTGCTCCTGAGCGTTATTACCCACTGAAAAGAACTATTTGGGATACAGAATTGCTCACAATCAAAGTAGCTTGGTAGAGTGGCAACGTCTTCTGAAAGATGGCCCAGATCCTCAGGGACCATAAGAATCTGCTGTATCTCCAGATAAATCAGAATCTGACTCCATAGTGAGTCCACTGATCAGGGTTCTTCTGTTGGGACTTCATTGTCCCGTACCAGCCAAATACCATTAACTGGAAGGCAGATGCATTCTTCTGACAGGACAAGGACTCCAAGTCCAGTCCGGTGCCTCCTTTTACCATCCTTAAATCCCAGAATTTAATTCATAACTCTATATGGAAGAGATTAATTTATAATATCCAGACAGACCATCCTGATGATCTGTTCACAAGACAACTCTGCCTACTGCCTGATCCTGATTTCCAACTATGCAGTGAGCTCCTCCTCTTCTGAGGCTGACACTGTGTTTCTGAGGGACCCTTAGAACCACAAGTATTAAGACTGTTATGACAGACCCCTTGCTGGGCACTTTGGTTGCTCTTGGTTTTGTGTCAATTCTGGTGGCCAAATATGCTTTAAACATGTAGGTACAAAAAGAGTTCTGTAGCTGCAAGATTTTTGGATTTTTTTGTGACTTGGGTGGCTAAATTCTGTTTAGGTGCTGCATTTAGCAGTTTAAATGACTTCACAGGGAGGGAGATTGGTTTCTTTATTTCCAAGTGATCACTGTGATCCTGATTCAGCAAAATACATAAAGATATGCCTGATTTTAAACAAATGAGTAGTATTTACAGGCTTAAAATTAGACACATGTTTAAGTACCTTTCTGAATTAAGGCTTCTTTTAAGTAGCATGTAAATGACTGGGAATAATTCATAAATCAAAGTTACGAGCTGCTAAACCACTTACCAGAGAGTATTATGCGTGAACAGTAGAGTTACAGAGTTAGTTTTATTCAATAACAGTGAGACGTTGTAAGCATTGCTGGATAGGGACTAGTTACTTGCACAGTACCTTGTGCAATAGAGTCCTAATATATGATTTGAATCCTTAGAGGCTACCACAGTAACAACAACAGCACCAAAAAGCATTAAAGATTATTCTTTTGTTGGAAGTACTACTGTACAACTACCTTTTCTTGTCTAGTAACCAAAGTAAATATATTGACTACACCAAGATTTAGTCTGTTTCATTAAACAGAAAGGATGAAACCAGCTGCTTTCCACAGTTTATTTAGAGTTATTAATACGTGGTCATTATAAACACAAGGCTTGCTTAGGTAGGTCTACTGTGGTTAATTTTGGGCACCTTATAAATTAAAATAGTTTAAAAAGTGTTGATGAACTAACCAGAAAAAGAAATGTACATTTCCAGAGAAACTGGAAAAGCCAACATAAATTACTTTTACTTAGTGCCAAATTCTGATAAAAACAGATAGAGTGAGGTGTTTTTCCCCCCTATAGAAGGTATATACAAAAAGGTGTTTCTGTATAGTGCATCGTCAGGAAACAATCTATCCCATCACCATTTAAGTATCGTCATATAGTAATTTTATTAAATGAAACAGTAGCATCTCAACAATTTTTTAATAGTTAGAGTTCTGCATTTTGTTCAGCATACTATGAAGAAATCCTTCATAGTAACTTAGAAGTCTGACACTAATAAATTCAAACTTCCAAGCACTGCTGCTTGTTCCCGGGGAACACCCATGCCATATGCACTGTGGTACGCAGCAGGTTACCCCAGGTGGGGTAGGGAAGGCTGGGGCCAGCAACTGTGCTGGCCCCACCAGCCTTACCTGGTGTCCTGGGGGCCTCCCGGGGCTGCAGCAATGACAGGAAGCCTGGCTGGCAGCTGAAGTGTGGTTCCGACTGGCCAGGCTCCAGTTGTGGGTGGCATCCACTGCTACCATGTGCACCATCCTACTTTTTTTGGTGTGGCTTTTTTTGACCCCAGGATCTCCTGGAGTCAAACCCCCCTCCACACCCGCATGCTGCAAGGTAGCAGCATGGGGTACACCTGCATGTGTGGTACGTGGCGCGTCTGTGGCGCAACATACCGCACATCCACACTTGTCTGAACACAGCCATGGAGTGCTTCACTACCATCTAGCTAACTAAAGGTAGCTCAAGTACCTTTACATGAACAATAATCCCTGCAGTGCAAAGCATTTTTTAACATAGTCCTGGTCCTCCTGGACTTCTCTGACCCATAGATACCACATTTTTTGGCATATTTTTCTGTTGCTTTGCTACAAGCAGAAATTAGAACTTCCATTACAGAATAATGAAATTGTATATTAACATTCTACATATGTAGTTTGAAATTCCAGTTAAAAAGATTTCAGCTTTCTCTAAGCAAACTTGTTTTCTTCTTTTAGGACAGAGCTGGAAATTTTGTTCTACCATTTCAAATGAATAAGAATGAGCTCTGCAATTCAGAATGAAACAGTTGTTTAATCAATTTCTATGTAGACGAAAAGCACAAAAGTGCAGGGTGATCTTTTTAGTGATGTTCATTAATTAGTTTTAGCCATTTGTATTTGAAAAGGTTCAAGGAATAACACAAGGTATTTTCTATTAAACGAATTCTTCCACTTCCACTTGCAATGAATAATTTTATTGATTCCTAATTTGAATCAACCCCTAAATTAATAAGAATCATAGAAATAGTAGAAATTTTTATGTAAAACACCGCACACTGAAACACAATATTATTTTTGTAGTTCTAAATGGCTGAAGGTTGAATAACTTTCGTTTTCAATATACTCTTTAATGGCTGAATGTTCAGAACACTGCTTCTTTTATAATTACTTTTTAATCTAGCTTTTAGGGAATTAAAGTAGTGATTACAATATTAACATTGCCTCATAAAAGAAGAAAAGCTATCACACAATGCATAAAAGTTATATCCTAATGACATTTTCCCCAATTTACCTCTCCTTACCTTTAACTAGATTTATTATAACTGTATTCATTTGTCTTACCAATATGTAAAACTATAATATAATTAATTAGGTCATTACATGGCTATATATTAGCCACATACGAGGATGACCATAATTCTGTTAAGAAAAATACATAAACAAATCCATTTCATTGTCCCTACTGATTATCGGCATTGTTTTAACCTTCCAACTAATGCTAAGTCTGTCTAAAATCCCCAAAGAGTTGATAGGCACATAATGCCCATTTAATTTGCAATCACTAATGTAAAAATGTAACAAAAATTAGGAGAGATTTTACATACGAGTAGGATACAATGCTAAACATTAAAATATTTTACATACTCACTTTGGAAATACTGTCCATGTCTCCTGAGCCTGAAGTTAAAATAAATAGACATTTAGTTAGGTATGGACTGCATTAATCTAAGACAAGTGTGGGCAATTATTTGGCTGGTGGCCCACTTAACGAATTTTGATCAGCTGTTGAGGGATGCAGGGGCACACCTGTTGTCAAACTGTTAAATCCCACACCTTGACAGGTGCCCTGCCCCCTGGCTGCTATTTTGGAACTGAAAGTCCTGTTCCTGGCCTTTGCCACTGAAAGTCCCTCCCCTCACCCTGCAAGTACTCCTTTTGGAAGGGGGAAGGGTTATATTCTTGGAACCAGAAATTTCACCCTTGCACATGGTCCATGACATAAAAAGGTCCGCTCACCAGACACCAAACCCTGTCCCCCACACCACCATGTTGGCCACCATATTGGTCCCAGAATCCCCTGCCCATATTATATGGTCCCTGACATTAGAAGGTCCACTGCCCCTCTAGAGAGCCCATGCACTCATGGTGCATTGCCCACCCTTGGGGCCCCAGAAGTTCTGTTCCCTAGGCCACAAGGCACAGGCATGACCTATCAGGTAGTGAGGAGTTGTAACTCCTATGTCAACCTGCCCCATTATCCTTGGCCAATCAGTGGGAATTTCAGGAGTGTTGGACCTCCCAGAGAATGGTGCCAAACCAATCAAGTTGAGGTCCATACACATAACATCTTTCAAAAGATATAATTTTAACAAATTATAGATCAAAAACAAACATATACTAAAAATGTATTTCAAAAATATATTTTTAAGGTGCTAGTACCAACATCACAAGCAGCAGAGGGAAAGGAGGGCAGGGGGTGGGTTTAGGTGCTGGGTCTCTCCCTAGCCCTGCAGGCACTAACCCCACTACGTGCCTCAGCCCCCGCTGTGCTCCATTACTGGCTGCAGTCCCAGGAGCCGGAGCTGGAGCCAGAGCTGGAGCTGCTGCAGCCGGCACTACCCACAGGGGAGGGAGGAGGGCAGAGAATGCCATGGGATGGATAGAATCACTTATTGGGCTGGATCCGGCCTGTACACCATATTTTGCCCACCCCAACCTAAGAGTTTATCATTTTCCAAATTTTAAAAATACAGCATTGGTACAATAAGCTAACACACAGTGATATTTGAGAGCTTCCTTTCCCCCTGAGTCTCTCTCAGTATAATACCCCAGCCAATACAATACACATACTTGACCCTTCTGTGGTTGTGCATATGATTTGGGTGTAGAAAAACTATTTTCCCTTTTTTAGGTCTATGTAAGAGCTACAGTCAGTCACAATTTCTGTGGTCTGGAAAAATGTAGGCACAGCTATTAGGGGTATGCAAAACAGGTCATATTTGATTCAGATTTGGCCCGAATTGGGGACAGTGATTCAATTAGTTGATTCAGATCACTGTCCCGATTCAATTCGACTAAATCCAAATTTGAAGATTGGATGCTGATATGGAGAATCAGCCATTCAGCCATAGACACAGCTTTTTTCTACATACCTCAAGGTACCAGGCATGGCTCACTGTGCTGGGACAGATGGAGTGTCCCACAGGAGCACAGGGGAGCTCCCCCATGTGTTCAGTGACGGAACTGGAAGTGGACCGGAAATACTCCTGGTGGACCCGGAAGTAGACCAGAAATGCTTCTGGTCTACTTCTGGGTCTGCAGCCAAGCACACTGGGAACACCCCCACCCCATGCTCCTGTGGGATGCTCCATTTGCCCCAGCATCTCAGCATTCATGAGCTTCTTCTTCACGGTAAGGGTGGCCAAGGGAGGTGGTGCTCTCCCCTACCTTAGGGGTCTTTTAGAGAGGGTTGGATAGGCATCTGGCTGGGGTCATCTGACCCCAGCACTCTTTCCTGCCTAGGCAGGGGGTCAGACTCGATGATCTGTTGAGGTCCCTTCTGACCCTAGCATCTATGAATCTGTGAATCTATGAGTACCTTGAGGTATGTAGAAAAAACATTTAAAGCTGTGGCTATGTCCGAATCATCAAATCTTTCTGAATTTCTCTGAATTGATCCGGAGGGTTCCGATTCAATTCAGAGAGATTAAAGGGCCTCCTGATTTGATTCTGGGAGTAGCTACCCAGATCAAGGACAACAAGAAGTCCTTTTTTAAATACACAGGGGGCAAAAAGAAGGTACCGGGTAATGTGGGGCCCCTGCAAGACACGCTAGGAAATCTGGTCATCACACCAGATGACAAAGCCAACCTATTTAACGACTTCTTTGCCTCCAATTTCCTGAGCAGGGACAGGATCAGCCCCCCCACTGGGCCCCCCTCAGGCCTCAGGGGAGGCGCACCTAGGCCAAGGGTCAGTGAGGAGCTATTCAGGGAACTTCTGGAGGGACTGGATGTATTTAAATCAGCCAGTCCAGACGATCTCCACCCCAGAGTGCTGAGGGAATTAGCTGAAGTTTTTGCAGGACCCCTGGCATGGCTTCACGAGCACTCATGGTGCTCTAGTGTGGTGCCAGAGGACTGGAAGAGGGCCAACGTGGTTCCCATCTTCAAAAAAGGGAGGAAGGAGGACCCCGGAAACTATAGGCCAGTCAGTCTTACCTCGATCCTGGGTAAGCTCTTTGAGAGAATTATCCTGGCA